AGGAGATTGAGTAAGCATCTCGAGAAAGGATTGTCATCGCAAGACTATCCCATTGAGTAGGTAAGGCGGCCAAGAGAATCATAGCTTTTACCGGTTCGGAAGAATGAGACCAGAGCCATCAAGGCGGGAGAAGGTGGAGTTTAAAGATGCTAGGGCAAGAGTAGGGTCGTTTCTTCCGTCGATTTGGAAGTTAATGGCCTCTTTGAAGATGCCAAAAGTGCCGGCAGAGCCGGGTTTGCCTAGATCTTTTTGATTTCTTCCCAAGTTTCGCAGATTCAGTTTTAGGACAGTAGCCCTGATGTCATCAGGAAGTCGGAGGGCAATTAAGCCCATGGCTTGGTCGTCAAGCTGTCCCAGTCATCAATCTCTTTCTGCCGTTCGGCAGTGGTGGTCTCAATATCTTCATTGGCCTTGTAAGTGCCAGCAGCGACTTCAGAGGCGCTTGCTTTGCGGAATGTTGGTTTGGGGCGAGGGATTCGTCCACATACAACAGACCAACAACGAGAGCTCTAAGGAGCGCTGTCATTGAACTGGACCAGGAGGGGTAGTTAGCCCCATTGAGGAGAGGAACACTAGAGAGGTTTGAGAGAGACATGTTTTGATAAGGTTCTAGAAAAAGTAGAGCAACAGTCAGTGACGTGCTTCCACAAGTTATGAACTCAGATCACAACAACAAAGTCGGAAACCCGTGACAAGTGTTTTCAGTGTTGATCGCATATAATTATCCATCCATTTTCCATCCACTGATCCGATCATTCCAATTCGGACTCAGTCACTTAAGTTGATCGGAACACAAAAGGGTAACTGAATGCCAAGAATATGCGTTCAGTCAACGTTCAGATGTGCTTTGCAGCACAATCGAACAGTATCCCTTCAGCATGTGAAGAACTTAAGGCAAGCAGCAGGTAGGTAATGTGTATGTACAATTATTCTACGAAGGCCAAGAACCCAATGATCGTTCGCAGTTTGCCAGCGGATGCACATGAACGCTTTTATGGCTATTATAGCGGTGACCCCAAGTCTACCTGGCAGGGAATAAAACCCTAAAGGGAATGCCATCACAGCAAAGCCCTTAAACAGTTCGTTCGATCATCGGGTGCCTATGTAAATACATGTGTGTGTCAGTGTGCAAAGTCATGTATATTTTTGAACAATGCAGGAATGGAGAGAAATGCGATCCATGAATGTTACCATGTACCATGACCAGCTATGCACAACACGCGAACTTCGTACACTCCAGGAATGAGCGTTGGACGTTCATTGAACACTGTCTAACCAAGTGCAGTAAGCACAATGGAGGGCACAACATGTGTTGAAGCGATCCGGGGCCCATAACCTGTAGAAACAGCGGTCAGTCAACACAAGGTCGACAGCATACTCACCTGAGAGTGTAAGGGTGTTACAGGAGTTGTAAGAGTGCTTGTTGAGAGCAGAACAAGTGTCCAGACGAATAGTAGGATTCTTGGTTATTGTTACAGGAAAATATCTACAGTATTTATACTACAGAATATAATAAACCCTATAACAATGTATGAGTCTACTTGAGTCGTACTGCTAAACATAGTGCATATACATGTGCATAATGTACCCTAGAAGATGGAGTCCGTATGGTAATTCTATAGGTATTGTTCATAGGTACTGCAAGGCAGCGTACAAGCTATGTATCATAAGACTAATAGCGAATGGCATAATTGACTACATCTATACGAACCTGCGTAGAGGCTGCGTCTAGTGTTTGAGGGTGAGTTTCAACATAGCATATATCGACAGTTCATCGATCGTATAGCAAGTGCGTCTAGTCGACTCACATTACTGATTAGATACGACTCATAAGCGGTAATCTAGTTTCAACAGTGATAACCGCTACACTATAGGACCAGTAGTTGTAAGGCATTGTACATGCATGATATGACTTCAAACTTGTAAGTTGTACCACTGGAGAATAAGACAGAGGCTTGCTCAGAATCTTGGATTCTGTAACCTGCTTGAACCCAGGTCACAGCAAAGGTCACAGTATTGCTGAAGGGGGTTGAGGGGTGTACCTGATTTCAAATGTTTCAAATGTTTAGGCCCCGTTCTGTTGCCGCGACTCAATGTGATACGATAAAATGTGATACGATAGAAAAACAAATTCCACATCGTATCAAACTTGATGCGAGTTGGAAAGGTTCGGATGCGACTCCATGCGACCCTGCTTGTGGATCACGACGTCCGGTGTTCATCAATACTGCCCGACGTCGCTCCAAAAGGTGTCTTGTCATTGTTGCTCACAATAACCAGACCATAAATACAGAAAAATAGAATATGATTGTTCTGACTTGTTTTATTAGTGTTGAAGTGTTAGTTCATGCCTTAGCCTATAAACCACTAAAAGAAAGAAAATGGCTGTTATCATCATTGCCAGCGATGAGCATGAGAGTTCTAGTCGTTGACTACAAAACACACCAAGTCGCACAAAAAATCTCCTTGGTGTTGCGGAACACGAAAAATGCGAGACGAGTGATCCAAAATGTCTACCGTATTTCTCACGGAAATTTGGCAGAGGGATTTTATCGTATCACATTGAGTCGCCGGAACAGAACGGGGCCTTAAACTTCAGGGTTGAGCGGCGCGGATGCATGTGACAATGCTTAAGCCTTACACAAGGCAGAAAAATGAAAGAACAAAAAAACATCTCACAAGCCTGTGCAAAGGTGACTCGAACCTGGGTCACGGGAAGATCACAGCGCACAGTGCATTGCTAGGTTATCAGAATCCCATGTGATAACCTCTACACTATTGGATCGATACTTGTGGGGGTTATAGATACATGATATAGTGAAAGGGAGGATAGGTTGTATCGTGACGTGAAATGAGGAAGGAGTTGTGCACCAGGCGGTCATGAAATGCATTGGATTCTCCAGTACTTATACTACACATTATCTTATTATCCAATCTCCAATTCTCTGTTTCATTTCATTTTTTGTTTTGGTTTGGTTGAAATAGTTAAATATGAATATTTGGATGTTCGGGGTTGAGCGGTGATGATGTCGCATCTAACGATAGTTTTACACAAGGCAGAAACACGAAGGACAAAAAATAAACATTCAGTACAGAGAAGAGGTCCAACCAGGACTCGAACCTGGGTCACGGGAAATCCAGAAAAAGTTGTTATATATATCAGAATCCCGTGTGATAACCTCTACACTATTGGTGTTGCTGTTGTAGATATTTGATATAGTGAAAGGGAGGATAGGTTGTTCATGACTTGAAATGAGGAAGGGATTTGTGCACCAGGTCCGCCAGGTGGTCATGAAATGCATTGGATTCTATAGTACTTCTACTACACACATCTTATACTACACATTATCTTATACTTATTATCCAATCTCCATTTCATTTCATTTTTTGTTTCGGTTTCAGGTTGAAATAGTTAAATATGAATGTTTGGATGTTTGGGGTTGAGCGGTGATGATGTCGCATCTAACGATAGTTTTACACAAGGCAGAAACACGAAGGCAAAAAAATAAACATTTCAAGTATGGAGAAGAGGTCCAACCAGGACTCGAACCTGGGTCACGGGAAATCTCAAATGGGCAGCCCAAAGCATCAGAATCCGTGTGATAACCTCTACACTATTGGACCGATGCTTATGGACGCTTTAGATACGTGATATAGCAAATGAGTGGGTAAGGGAGAGGAGTTGTCCGCCAGGGCGGTCAACGAGGTTTATACTACACATATGTTATTATCCAATCTCCGTTTTATTTCGTTTCGGTTGGAATGTTTGAAGATGGAACAAAAACCTACTGAAGCTGTACTGAAGTCTGATGAAGCTCGTTAATGCTCGCTTGAAGCGCTCAAGCTGTGGCTCGTGGACGCGTGGATATATGGAATGATAAGGATCGATAAGGCGTGATATTATGTATAGTATATAAGAGTATATACTACTAGCGTACACCAGGAACGAGGACGAACGAGGATGAACTCGCGCTGAATAGGTATATATATATATAGTCATATCGTATAACGACGTACATAAGTAAACCTGAGTTTTACCTCGATATATATATCCAACACTCGTCGTAAAGCCAAAAGGAAGCCAAAAGGAAGCCAAAAGGAGAGAGACGTCGAACGAGAAGAAGCCCAACGCCGCCGAAAACAGATTGTTTTTCTCGGGGCCGAGGGTCGAAGCACACAAAAAGAAGGCATTTACAAAAACACAAGGGCAAGGAACACAAGGGGGCAGAACACACGGCGGGAAGCTTCGAATGTTGGCAGAAACAACATGAAAACCGACTGATTGAGCTAGCGTTGACATTGAAGGGAGCTGGAAAGGAGAGTGGCTCGGGAGAGAACGGGTGAGATTTGGGTGGGATTTGGGTGAGAGTGGTGAGATGGCGGTGGGATAGTGACGTGGCGTTGGCTGGCATGGGAGGCGAGAAGCTAAAGGAGGCAAACGAGTGGATCATCCGTATGATTGGAGCACACGACCTGCGCCGGATACCGTGTATCGTGTGCCGTGTGCCGCGTAGCAGGATATTTCTGGATACGCTTTTGGTGGGCAGTTTGAGCACGAGCGCGAGTGCAAAAAAAAACTATAAGCGTCCGTCTTGCGAGGCGTTGAATCAAAGACGTCTAAGCGAAACAAGAGTAAACCGTAACACTATAAAAAGCAGTTATGCCGGCGGCGGCCTGTCACCGGCTACAGTATCTCACCCCTTTTTAGCTCCGGAACGCAAATATCAGCTGTTGTTTGTTGTTACCCCCACCACTGTCACTTTGACCCCACCAACAACAAAGTGCGCCGCACTAGTGCTGTTGCAGCTAAATAAGGGGGGGAAGAAGACGGATGACATCGTGAAATATGGCCCCCCCCCCCCCCCCCCGTTTTTTCCTCCTTTTCGTCCATCCGATATATATCCATCCACGGTTTATAGAAGAACTTGGCTCTAGTCTAGGTCTTTTTTGCGCACTGCCAGTTTGTCAGACTCAGAGCTCGCATAGAGTTATTTAGATTCAGAAGGGTTTTTGGATTATCGGATCTCGGGAGTTACACGTTACACGTAGATAGATTTATCCAACAGTGCGCAGTGAGTTTTCCTCGTTTTCTCGTTGCTTTTGGTCTGTGTTCAACGTTCTCTTTTCTGGTTCTTTTCTGTCTGTTTGTCTGTTTCGCCGTTGTTCGTGTTAGTCGGTTCCGTCTTGTTGTTCTTCTCTTATGTATATATTCTTCTTTCTTGTTGTTCGCTCGTTCTTTCGTTCATTGCTGGCGTCCCTCTCTGCGTACTATCTTCACTCTCCTATCTCCATCTCAGCATCATAATCGTCGTCGTCCGATTTTCCTATAACCCATATTCCAACATATCATATATCCGCATCCACATTCCTATAACCCTATAACCCATTCTCTCATCAAAAACACATCGCAACCATGTCCCAGAACCCAGCAGAACCCAAGATGCCGCCTCGGTACCAACTAACCCCAGTACACCAAACGGCCTCGCGAAGAAGAAGAAGCCATACCCGTTTTGGCTCGGAGGTGTCGCTTGCTACGATAGCGGGCTAGTATTACACAGTGAGTAATTTGGGTTTATTATATGATAATGGGGCTATTTCTTATCAATCTTATTATCTTTCATTCATCGACATGCTCTTACTCTTACTCTAAACCCTATCAATCCCTCTAATCGATAATCATGCAGCCCCCTCGACCTAACGAAAGTCCGCCTCCAAGCCTCCGGCGACCAAACGCATGCTCGCCTCCATCCGCAAGACCGTCGCCACCGCCGGCGTCCGCGGCCTCTTCGACGGCATAACAGGGACCTGGATGCGCCAGATGAGTTACTCCATGTGTCGGTGCGTACCCCATCCTCGTGGTTTCTTTCGTCCCGCCCTCTCACTCTCTCTCTCTCTCTCTCTCACGCTCGCTCACACTCTCGCGTTCCAGCTTCTGGGCCTACGAAGAGTCCAAAAAGATCGTCATCGGCCCCGACCCGACAGAGCAGAAGAACGCGCCGGCGTGGAAGCTCGCCCTCTCAGGAAGCATGGCGGGCGGTATCGCCGGTTTCGTGGGCAATCCCGGAGGTGCGTCGCTAGTCGTACCCATTTTCACTCACTCACTTTCTAACCGTTAACCATTCTTCATTAATCATTCTTCGTCCACAGAGATCGTCATGGTCCGCCTCCAAGGCGACTTCGCAAAAGCCCCCAGAGAAGAGGTTCAATTACAAACATTGTTTCGATGCGTTGTTTTAGGGTGAGTTTCTTCTTCCTTTTTTGGGGTTTTCTTTTCCTTTTCCCCCTCCTTTTCTTCCATTTCTTACATTTCTTCGTTTCGTTCCTTTTCTGGCTTGCTCGGACATGAAACCTTTTTTCGTCACGCAAGAGATCGTATTTCCGACTTTCTGGTGTCTCTCTGGCGTCCCCTCGTGATTGCCCCATGGTCCCTTCCCGCCTACCTCTCAATTTCTTCCCTCCACGCAAATACGCGTTATATCGGCGTCTACACGTTCTTCTCCTACACGTTCTCCTACACGTTCTTCTACCCGCTGTTATCTCACACGTTCTCCTACACGTTCTCCTACACGTTTATCTCGCACGTTATTTCCCAACATTCAACTTCCCACACGCGCTACTGCCTCTTCTACGCGGTGTTTGACAAAAACTTCTGATTCACGCGCATGTTGCGCATTGTTCCATATTCAAACATCTCATTAGCATTCATTCATTTTCTCTCACTCGCTTTGGTCTACCATTCGCTTTGATCTACCCATATTCCTACCCATATTCTTCCATATTCGCATTGATTCCCATTTGATTCCCATTTGATTCCCATTTGATTCCCTTTGATTCCCATCTTCCATATGACTATGGTTTGACTTATTGCTTGACTGACATACGCCTACAGATGGTCCGCGAAGAAGGCGCCTCCTCGCTCGCACGCGGTGTAGGCCCGAATGTATTCCGTGCGATATTGATGAACGCGAGTCAATTGGCTTCGTGAGTCTTTTCTTTCTTTCTTTTTTTGTTTTCGTTCTTCCGTTTTCGGTCTTCCTGAATTCGACTTCCTTCTTTCCATTCGTTCTTCCTTCCTTCTCCCGGATCCCGACTTCCGCCTTCCGAGTTCTCTCTTACTTCGCATTGTGATCAAGTTGATTAATTAATTAAACTATTGATCATTCACAGATACGACTTTTTCAAAGCCGAGCTTCTCAAGACCGCGTATTTCGAAGATAACATCATAGTTCATTTCACGGCTAGTTTCGCCGCGGTGAGTTTGAGCATAGTTTGTGTTTGTGTGTTGGATCGATGCTTAACGGCCGTTTCTTTCTCCATTCCTTCTCTCCCCAATCCAATCTCTTACCCCGTTACCTCCTTACCATCTCCTCTACCTCTCTACCCTTCCTTTCCCTCTCTCCCTTACCCCTCTCCGCCCCTCTCTCCCTTACCCCTCTCCGCACTCCCCCAGGGCACCGTCGCCACCACCGTCTGCTCCCCCGCGGACGTGCTCAAGTCCCGCATCATGAACGCCTCCGGCCCCGGCTCCTCCTCCACCATCGGCGCCATCCGCACCGCCATCGCGCAGGAAGGCCCGATGTTCATGTTCAAAGGCTGGGTCCCCGCGTGGATGCGGCTCCAGCCGACGACGATACTGATCTTTTTGACGCTGGAGCAGCTGAAGAATGGGTGGATTGGACGCGGGGGAAGGGGTGGGATGTTTTGTGAGGCCTTGTGAGTTGTTGAAAGTTGTTTTGGGAGTTGTTTTGGGAGGTCTTGTGAAGGATTGAGGGAAGGACTTGATGTTGATTGGGGTTTTGAATATTTGAACGATAGGATGTTTGGGAGGTGGCAGAGACGATGCTGGTGAAGGGAGGCTGATATGTATGTATGTATGTGTACCACACGACGAGGGAGGCGAAGCCTCTATGTACGATGGGAGGACGAGATGGGAAGGTCTTTGGACTCGGTAGCGGATGGGAGATGGGAGATGGGACGTGGGTGATGAAGGGAGAGGAACGATGGACGGTGTATAGACCGTTGTATATATCCTGTATATACTGTAAGCCAAGCTGTAAAAATTCATACCAAGCTATACCTGTCGGACTCGGAGCCCACCTTGCCTGTCGGAGTCTTGTCAATGTCGACTCCGACTGTCAGACCGGCGTTTGTGCGGGAGTTTGTGCGGAAGTTGGTGGACAGGGAGGCGGAGCTGGTGAGGCGCTGTGTATATCAAAGTATATCAAAGTCCGTTGTTCTGACTCTTCAACTTCCCCTCGATCCTGCCTGCGGAGGATAATGCGGTGGGAGGATAGAATGAGGACGCCACGTTGATTTGTAGGTGGTATGTATGATCATGTGATCGTATATCAAAGTCTCAGCTCTATAAGTACATGTTTAGGTTTGTACCGCAAGGCGCGGTGTGCAACGCCTTTATATATATATTAATCTGCGCCAAACAACGAGGGAAGAGAGAGTATGATAGTATACAGCCGTGGGAGGTGAGGTGAAAGGCGAAAAGTGAAGGGTGAAATTTTGAACACGGATGGGATTTTGATGTTGATGGACATTTGAACGATGGATGTTTGGGAGGGAAGAGGGCAGGGGTAGTTGAAACCCGACAGAGACGATGCTGGACGAAGAAG